CTGGGGTACTCTGGTTTTAAAAAATTAATCTATAAGAAACATTTTAAGAACCTCTTACTTGGTCATAAACCAATTTCATGTGTGTTTGCATTAAAGCACTGCTTTCAAGAACATTTTTTTAAACTTAAGGGACATTAAAACAAGTTCAGTTAGGTTCAGGATCTATTAAATTTTATTGTATAGGACCTAGTCATTAAGAGCTATTGCGCCTGGTTTTCCTTATGTTAATGGAGGTCTCCTTTAAGTCATACTGAGTACAACATTGATTTTTCAATTCGTTTACTGTCTGGAGATTATTAATGCACCAGCACGCACATTCACTGGATTTTGTACATCAATGCTCTTGGTAAAAAATTAACAGAAACCAGGTTCCAGATGCTTTAATCCACTTTAAGGTGCAAGAGCAGCAAGCAGAGCCTCATGTTGAAAAATAATTGAGCGAGTGTTGATGGACAACAGTTCTTTTCTGGGTTATAAAATATCTCATAATGCATTTAATTGTAAATTGTCTCATGTATTATGAATGCATTTCTTATATAAAGAAAATGGCCACATTTTCTAAAATACATTCTGAAGGAGCACATTTGCTACCTGTTCCAGATGTACTGGTGCAGATATAATCATTTGAAATGGACTAACAAAGACAGAAAAGACCCTGCAAAATCTTCAGAATAATGGCTTACTGACACGACACTGCTGACCCTGAGTGGTTCTATGCGGTACCTATACAGCTAGATTATGTTTAGAATTCTACATAGCTTCACCTGACTTGGAGACTGACCTTCTTCTATTAAGAAGTTTCTTCAGAATTCACATACGAGATGTTTAAAAATAATAAAGTTGGCTGTACAAAGCAAAACAAATATTTCAATCAAATATAACACCTTTTTTGGTCACCTTCCAATTATTTTTTTAATTATGCTGTTAATGTTTTTGCCACTTTCTACCAGCAATCATATCTTCCTGTAATAATGGTAACTGATTGATAACAACAACAACCCAGCTGACCAAAAGGGGTTGTATTGTTTAGATGCTGAGAAGTGAGGTCTGTGTATCAGAGCAAATGGAATAAGACAAGAACACAAAGTCATTTCAGCTGATCGCCTACTCTGAAGAAGGGGGTGTCTTATTTTGAAAAGCAGTTAAAAACGTGTATTTTCAAATATGTTTGGCCTTTTCCAGAAAGTTATTTTCTTTTTGGTTAGTTTAGTTGTGAGCAAACTGCTAAAAAAAAATAACAATTTCAATTTCAGTTTTGATCAAGCCTGTTTCTATGTTTTTTAAACAGAATCAAATAAAAATATGTTCAAACAGGAAACGTTTAAGAAGTCCAAATGAAGATGGTGAGTGACAGACTAGACTTTGTTCCGTTTTGATTACCTTTAGCTTCAGGCTAACATTAGGAGCTCTGACTGGTACCTCAGAAACATATGGGACTAGAAGTGACCTGTTAGTCTAATAAATGGATAAAACAGACATCAAAGGACGTCCAAAACCTGGAAAGAAGGCTGTGCCCTCCTACTTTCATCTCTCTCAAAAACTGCATCCACAGGTTAAACAAATACAGCTTAATGATATTTACATATTGGTTTCAACATCAGATGTCCTTCTCATTCATCGGGCCATTTTAAAGGTGTTGGTTCGATTTCAAACTTAGCCATGATATTCATTCCATCCATTTTCTAACCACTTTATCCAATAAAGAGGTGGGGGGTAGTTGGGGCCTGTCCCAGCAAGCAGCAGGCACAAGGCACGATACACCCTGGACACTAGTCCAGCTCAGGGCAGACACACACACACGTCAGAGCCCATTTTCCTTCAAGGCAATTAACTTACCAGTTTATCTCTGGACTGTCTGAGGAAACCCACACAAACACAAGGAGAACACACAAACTCAATGCAGTTAGCAACCCACAAATTACAAAATACAATATTCCTGGAATTGAATTCTCTCCCGTGATGTTAATGAATCTAGATGGATAAATACCAATGAGCAGCATCAGTCTTAACTTTTTTTGGTTTAGTTTTCTTAACCACACCTTGATCAAGCAAGAGGCACCCAAATACTGTATAAACAGTTTATACTGTAGTAGTGTGCAATGCATCATTCATGTTCGTGGATCATTTTAACACTTTACTGTTCAAAGGTATTATTACAAAATACACTGAGAACTGTTTTGAGACTTGCACATTTTTAAATAATGAAGGCTTCATGTTTCATGTTCTAAACCATTGCATATTTTTAAGCAGCTTTAGTGCTTTAGTTGACCAATAATGATCAAAAGTACCATTAGACTGCTAGAAATTTAGAAAACAAGTTTGTCTGTTTCAGTTCATATACAACAACAATATCTTTATTTCAGACCTCTATATCATTAGCTGCAGGTGACAGCAATAACTAGCTGCAAATTAAATTATTATAATCTGTATGGAGACTCACAGACTAAACCTTTCAATTTATAGTTCTCCAACTAACAAATTCAAACTTTACTTCTGCAATACTGCATACAGAACTGTTTAATGTCTCCATACTCATATTTCATGTCAATTAATATTTTTGTGACAAAGGTATTTTCACTAATTATGAATTGAAGCTTTTCATGAGAGTGGAAGCAGTTTTTCCTTATCTGCATGTTTTTCTTTCTAGGATTCACTTACTTCAATGCCACTTTTCTGACTGCAAGAGAAATGGATTACGATAGAGTTTCCAGTCTGCCACAGCGATACCAAAGCCTTGCTAAAGCAAAGGACTTTCGCTGAACTGGGGACAGAAAGTCTTGTACCTGGGATTTTTGTCCTTTTTGCCTGTAATGTAACATCAAGTGTTCTGTTGTATGGGCGACTGAGATCACATCAAACATAAGTACATTGAGGGTTCTTGTTCTTACACTGGACAAAAAACTGTACGTTTTAAAAGATTCTGCAACAATCAGGCATTTAGTCAAATTCATGATACACTAATATTAAAAAATAAATTCATATGCAAAATGATTTCTACTGTTACAAAGATGATGATTTTGTATTCATTCTTGGATTGGGCTTTTCTAAAAACAACGTTTTTTGGGGGGTCGTAATGTCTTTGGAAAATCACACCTTGTGGCTGATTAACATCCTATATGCACAAATATAACTCATCTTATAGCTTAGACACTAAAAATGCTTTAGACAGTTCATAAGAAAAAGTGGATCTTGTAATGTCTGAAGTCCCAACAGGAAGGCGCGTTTTATTCTCTTGAGAAGCCTGCAGCCCCTCAAGTTGTGTCACCTACAGTATGGATCATTTGCTACCAGACTATTGTTTTTTACGATGCTTTTCTTAAGACAGGGGAAATGTTCAGAGCTGGGGACCTGATTCACCATTCTCCTCACGACTGGGAGGTCTGAATGTTGCCAGGTCATCTGCAACGTAATTAGAAACTTTCACAGAGTGCTTCCTCATGTTGGAAACTTTGAATTGAAACATAAGGCAGAAAGGCTGCACAGTGTTTACACTGAGCACCCTGCAAAACGATTCAAGATAAATCTGATTTTTAATCTGCACTGTGGTTTTTGACATACACAGAAGAAACATATTAAATTAATTTAAACAAAAAGGCCCTGAGGGTTTTCCATTAGCATTTGAACAGATCTAAAGTCCTAATAGTCATGTTGTCACACAGCTCTAATCTTCAACCTTAAAGTCTCTAAATACTGTTTTACACATATGCTTGTGTTCAAATCAATTCTCACATGATGACCAACACCAAGACAGGATTATTCATAACAGATGTTAATAGTACATTTGTGCTTGTAAAGAAAATTATATGTTTTAAAGCTAATTATATATATATACACTTCAGGTAAAGCAGTTACTACAGTACAGTATTTCTATATAGTGAATCTAACCATAATATCGGCAAATTACAACTTGCTTCATGATATTTGACGTGTAATCTAACCGTTTGTATAGAAAATTAAATCGTGTTTGTGGGAAGCCTCTTTCTTAGAACTCCAGCATGAAAGTACTAAATGTTAATTTACACAACTGAAAGTCATTTCGAAGGTAAAAGCCGAAACTTCGTTTGATGTAGGTAATGGCAGCCCCACTGTACACGCAGGAGGTCTCTGTGATGGTCTTTTTCAGTGTCGTTCTTCTTACCGTTTTAGAAAAACATATCTGTTACATATGCAATTTGTAATGCAGTTACATATAGCGTTCTTCTGTTCGCCTCTGCTGCTCCTTAGGAGGAGCAGAACTTTTAATATGGTTTTCTTCAATGGCCATTTAAAATCTGGGTTAGCATACCCTTAGCTAGGTCTTCAACAAAGCAGTAACATAACCAATCCCTTACTGTCGCGGTTCCAAATTAAGGAGAAACCATGCTGTTTCATATACGTAAGGTGATGCTGCACATTGGTGGTGGTGGAGGGGAATCCCCATTACCTGTAAAGCGCTTTGAGTGGAGTGCCCAGAAAAGCGCTATATAAATGTAAGCAATTATTACATTGTAATTATTAAATGTCATGACTGTCAATCAACCGTAAAACACGGAACTTTTACGGACTCGACTCTGATTTTAATGTTAACGATCTGCTTGAAGTTTTTTTTTTCCTGTACCTGCTGCCTTGTTTTCTGTTCATTAAGCAAGCGAAATGAGAGAATGGAAATGGAACAAGAATCGTCATAAATGTGAGGGTGTTGAAAAAAGGGTTGACAGAAGCTGGCGACACAGAAGTCGCCAACCACTGCGGTACTCAACATGCTTGTTACGAGTGATTTATCATTTGAAAGAAAGATGATAAATGGCTCGGTACCGCGAAAAGCACGCTGAACAGTTCTCACCTTCCCTCTTCCGCCCCCAGCAGCACCTGTGAACTACATTTACGCATCTTATTAGAAAGCGAACACGCCTCTGTTCTCGGATAAAGCCTTTTAATTGGTTTCTCTTCAATGGCTGAAACCTTCCCCTCCGCCTCTTTCGCTGCTGCCCCTGCTCGTTGCCTTGGAAGCGCAGGGAAACTGTTCACACGGAGGTTGTCCTGTGCAGGCAGCTGAGGTTTGCGGGGCTGTGCCGACCTGGAGTGCGCAGACACGGTTGTCGAGGTTGTCTAGAGTGATCGGAGTGAAGGTGAATTTGATGTGAGCACACCACTGGGGAAGATGTCCCAGCAGCAGCGGGTTGTGCAGCTGTCAGCGGCGTCGCTCGCCCTGGTCCTGGGCCAGGACGGGGAGAGCTCCACAGGCGCAGGGGGCAAGTGCAGTGGCTCCAGCCCCAGCGGACAAGACATTTTCGCCGATTTTAAATCGCAGAATTTGCGGAGCTTTTGGAATAAGCGACTGGTCAGAGCCGTGGAGGAGATTGTTTTCCAGGGGTGGTTGGAGAATTTTGTGCTCCTGGTTCAGGGGAGCGCAAACAATTTGGAAGTGCTGAGGGAAGCGTGGATGCGAAGGGCTCTGAGGTCGCCGAAGGGGTTTGCCATCCGAGCAGTGGGTAAGTCCGCCGTAAACGTCGTTTAGAACCGCGTCCAGTCACTTCGTATCGACTAGCTAACGAACCAGCATGTGAATTTTTAAAAGGATTGAAACAGCTGTATGGGGGCAGGGCGCTTAGCTCTTGGACTCTGGGTTCGACGCTGGCTTTCTGTGTGGAGTCTGCATGTTCTCCTTGTGTTTGCACGGTTTTTCACCGGGCGCTGAAATTTCCTGCCACAGTGAGAATGCTTTCTGTCTGTGTTAGGTGGCGTCTCTAAACTGTCCCCCTCGCTCGTGTTTGTGTCTTGCGTCCTTCCAGCGTGTATCCAGTGTCTCCCGTGTTAAGCTCCGACACACCGTGATACTCTTTCAGACTAACCTGACCTAAGCGGTTAACTAAGCTATGCGGCCATTCAAAACGCGTTGATGAAGCACTGCACTAACCTGATCCGAAATGATGAAGATGCAAATATATATATTTCAGCAATTAATTTATACTTTTGGTGGTGTGTGTGGGGTAAATTATTGTTCTGATGAGACAGAATGTTTTGTTTTACTGCTTGAAAACGAAACCTTAAGAAACTGTCCAAAGATTTTAATAATTCCGCAGAGGTTCTAGAATTTAAAGTGAAAAAAATTCAGACGAAGTTTTGTTTGTATCTAAGTTTTGTGGAGAGATCAGCACGATAACACCTGTCATAAATGTAGTGTGAACCTTTGATCAGACTTGTTTATTGTACAGTGTTTGGGTCCCGTTGACGTGCGCTGGAGTGTGTTACGCCCCAGTGCTTGTTTTGATAGATTAAGAGGTGTGATTTAATGTTTTGAAATAAAACCAACTCTTTAATTTGCTTGACCCCACAGTGCCACTGATTTCAAAACATTACACCACTGGAACCTCTAGTAGTAATTTGAAATGTATACATGTAATAGATGTAGTTTCTTTAAATTAAACGCAAGCCTGTAACATTGAAAAGAATAACACATCATCTACGATTGACGTGTAATTTCTTTAAACCATAAACACGAGTTATTTGAAGACACTTTAACGTGAATTTATTACTGATTTTAATGTTTTTTGTTTGCCAGGTTTTATTTTATAGGCTTATCTATATCATTATATTATAAACGCATAAGAATCCATGACATTGGAATATCCGTGCTGAAAATTGATTAAATAACCGTGGATATTAAGGTAAAAATAAATGCTGCTGAACTGGAGTCTTATGGAACGGAAGCAGATTAACGTTGAAAAGGAATTATTTGTTAATCATTTGCACACTTTAAACCCCATATAGTGGTAGAGCCAGTTTGCCGTGAAAACACATCGCGTGTGTTTTCTGTATATTTCTTTTCACTGAATAGGGCCACACACCGGGATGGCTGCTTAAAGTTTCGAAATTTACAACTAGATAAACTTCCTTTATATCCAAATAACCGCTCCCTTTGATCTTACGGGATAATAGCCTCAGAATTGAATTACGGTCTTGGAAGAAGGCACAGTAACATAATGAGCGAGAGACACTGTAGCTTGTAGAATTCCTAGCAGGATACACGGTATTTATAGCCCCGGAAAAAAAAATGCCTTTAATGATATTACATCTTTTTTTAACCATTTTTTGTGTGTGGAAAAGGAAGTGCCTGCATTCGTTTTTGTGCTTTTTACGAATTATAAATGAAGCAGTTAATTTGCCAGACCGGCTGGTTGAATTAAAGAAGTTTGTGGTAACCGCTAGTCTCCAGCATACAGTGTTTCTTTTGCCTGCTCATGCATGAACATTAAATATTTATACCGTCAGCTATTGGCAGACTGAAATTCAGTATTTAATTCAGAAATTAAAAGAGACGCTCCCAACATTCATTTTCAGTTGGATTCTGTTTTTCTATTGTCCTTACATTATAAATAATGTAAAAATCCTCTACTAATGGACCCCCAAAAAGGTGAGCATAAGCATACTTGTGCTTCCCCACAGATATGCAGTAGGTTGCATCCACAATCTCAAGTTCAACTGGCCTGAGAAGAGCTCGGAAGAGGATGGATGTTTCCACAGCAACTCTTCCCATGACTAAAAAGCTATCAAGCCAGGCTCTTTTGCTTTCTCTACAACTTTGCAGCGCGATCGGAAACTGTCTTCCTTTAACTCTGAGCCTAAAAGAAACTCGCGAGGGGCTTGACAGGGGCATTGGTGTGCAATGTTTCTATGGCCCTTTCAAAAAGAGGAAGGATGTTTCATTAAACACCGGCTGAGCAGCGAGCATTGGCCAGGCAGTAATGAAGACAATGCATTTACAAGGGTCCTTTTTCTTCTGGTGCTGCTGTTTGTGACATACAGAAAGGATGTCCCACATTAACTATATCCCAGTGATGTGGAAATGTGTGTTCTTAAGATGGAAAGACATAGTCATGGGTGGACTTAGACTGAGAGGATATGCGGTGTTGAAAACAGCGCTGACATCAGCACTAAGGAAAAATATTGCTTTCATGACATTGTTATTGTGCCCAACTCAGTAACACAACACTTCCTAAATCTTAACTATCACCACATGCCCGTCTTTCTACCTGAACCATGTGGAGTGTACTGGGATTAATCCAGCGGTTGGCACTCAGATCTTCCTGGGTGTCCTCAAACTACCGTGAACTGGTTGTTAAAATGATAGAATTAGGCTAAGAACAGGGACCTGGGCAGCACAGGCTTACTGGAGACATCAGACAGGCCCAGGAGTGAAGTGAGCTTCGGTGAAAGAGATTCTGTTTAAAGGATGAGTAGTGATACTTTTCTCCTACAATGGTGTCGGGACTTTGAGGGGCAGCTCAGGGAATGAGTTGAAAAATGGTTCATACACATTAAATGTGAACCACATGATTCACAACTGGAAATTTAAAGTCTGTAAGATTTCCACCTTTCTATGATCTGAAACAAACTACAGTTATGCTTCAATGTTAACAGAACACCCTGGATTACTTCCTGTCCAATAAAAAGATAGCAAAACAAAGAGGAAAGGGACGGACTATCTGGCTGTCTAATCTAAGTCTTTTGGGAGGAAATGTCTCCTTGTTTTTTAATCGTAGTATGTTGATATAATAAAATACATCACAGCAGACATGGACAAAAGCACTCTTAAGTTGTCCAAAATATCAAGCTTGTTAATGGCCAATGAGTATCGTGTAGCCTAATGGTCAAATTATGGTTTGAACTGAAAATATTTTTTATTAAAAAGACAAATGCTCAGAGTTGTCTCTACTTCTGTGAGCGATTGAATTGCACTTTGTGATTCTTCATTATATTGTAAAGTGCTGTACAAACATATGTTTCCTTTTTTAAGAGTCTCTGTAAGGACCAGATTTAGCCCTACAGGAAACTACACTGCATATGAGACTTATAAGTTTCTTTGGGGCAATAAAACTCACCTTACAAGCCTTGTCATTTGTTTTTGGAAATGCTCCATTTTAATTTAAACTGGGATTATGGCAAATTAGGCTGGTATTTAAAACTGGAGATACTTGTTAACACAGAGAGTGTTTTTTTACATATGTACTGTATTTTGAGCCTCATCATTTGCATAATGTTTAAAAACCATGTAAGGGAAGTATCCAAAACCAATCCAAAACCTTACATTTACTGTCTTGTGACACCACCAGAGGTTTTTGAAGTGTTTGTTTTAACACTCACCCCAGTAGCAGGAAAGTTGTTGTTATATAATGGACTCTGAGATTGTAAAGATGATTTCCTTCTGGTGATGCATTTTAAGAAGTGACACATCACAAAATGTAAATGCACCATTGACTACACTTGTCTGGCAAATGTACTAAAATACAGACAGCAACTCCTCCATCAGGAGCAGACCATCACTGCATACCTTCATGATTTGCTTAGACAAAAGTGAGATAGGTTTCAATTAACATAGCAGGAATGATTGACTGTGTGAGAAACAAGTTGTCAGCTGATGGTACAAACAGCACATCTTCTTTAAGGTGAGAAGAAACGAAACTGATGTGGGGGGATTAGATACCACCACTTAACGGTCTTAAGAAAGGCTTCCCAAGAGTCCATTTTCTCTTTTTTACCAGTTTGTGATACAGCATATCTTCTAATGTAAATGGTTTACTATGTTCTTGGGTTCCATTGTCATTTGCACTTTTTATATGGTGTCGAAGATGCTTCTCTACTGTTTCACAGTGGGGGACGTGAGTTAATTCAGACTGGGTGGTGTATATATCTGTCGGAATGACTGTTTTCCACCTTGGCTGTTAAAATTGAGTGGTGTGGTGTGCTTCTGCCAATTTTAACTTTCCAAATCTTTCACTTGGTGCCATCTGTTTACCATACACAAGCTGTTTAATAAAGCACAGGAGTACCTGCTGGGTGGTCATTTCCTCCTGTTTGCCCAAACAGAAGGTTAATCCTTGCTTGGGGTCCTAGGTTCAAAGTTAAGATGTCGTTTTCAAAGCCATTCTGTTATAAACATGGCTGCTGTGGAAGGTATTATTCCCCATAAGTAGCGTGCTTAAAAAAGTGTCAGAAAATGTGTACCCGTCTTATTTAACTGGTTTTGTTTTAATAACAGACTCTTCTTCTGTTCTTCTCTGGTAATCTTGTACAGCTGTGAATAACTGATTGAAAGGTCTGCACCTTTGAAGGTCGATATAAAAAGACAGTTGTTACCAGACAGTTGCTTTGGGTTCTTTGCACCTTCATTTGTGCCTTTTATATGCATATCTTGCAATTGCAGTTGCATAGCTGTTTGCAGTTGGAGATTAGCATGTGCTCTAATTCGAATCTGAATGCCACAAGGCTTAAATCCATTTCAGAACTGTGCCACACTGTTGAAAGTAGCCTACATATTTTTTTTTTATCAATGGCTCTTAGGAGTCATAGAAAAATTGCAGCTCAGGAAAATGTTTTTTTTTTTTGTTTGTTTTGATAAATTAATCACCACACTTATTCTGGTCAGTACTTTGTAGCATTTTGTTAACAGAGAACTAAAGAAGCATAAAGCAGGTAGTGTCTGCGAGTTATA